ATTTTTATATGAATAAATATAAAATTATTATATTTTTTAATGTATTTTAATTCAAGGAATTTAGATCAAGTTAAATAAAATTTCAGTAATTAAGTAAAATAATTTCGTCATTAATAAAAAACTAGTTTTATCATTTCGGTTTCATTAATTTCATCATATTAAGAAAGGTAATTTCGTCAGATATCACTACTCTGCAATTTTAATTTTACTAAGAAAACTTAGTAATAACCGTCATTGCAGCTTCGGTTTACTATTAAAACTTAGTAATAACTGTCATTGTAGCTTCAGTTTACTAAGAAAACTTAATAATAACCGCTATCGCAGCTTTAGTTTACTAAGAAAACTTAGTAATAAATGCCATCACGGCTTCAGTTTTACTAAGAAAACTTAGTAATAACTGTCATCTTGGCTTCATAACAATTTTATTAGTAAAAAATGTTTCCAAAACTGCGAAGGCGTTTTTTACTATATTTTTCTTAGTAAAAAGGCATTTTCAAAGCCATGAAAGTGCTTTTTAATATGGTTTTCTTAGTAAAAAAGGCATTTTCAAAGCTACGGAGGTGCTTTTTAATATGATTATCTTAGTAAGAGCCTCTTCTGAAGCTTTGGAGAGGACTTTACTATTGATTCAAATCAAATCAAATATTTGAATACTTGATTTGAATTTGATCGAATCAAATCAAACATTAATTTAGATTTGATCAAATAATCATTCTTTGATTTGAATTTGATCAAATCAAATATTCAAATATCAAATCGATTTGCAAAACCCTAACAATTACTATTTAAATAAATTTAATATGCTAAAGTATATAAATTTATCTTAAGATAATTATTATTAATTTTGAAATTCAGATTTTATTTTAAGTAGAATTTATTGAATTATAACTTTAATTGATATTTTAATTATGGTTATTTTATGATTAGAAAATTTAAAATTAAATGTTCTTTAATGTATTAGATTTATATAATTATAAGAATTAAATAGTAATTATTTCATCAAAATGAGGTAATATTAATCAAATCATAAAATTTTTTATATATTACAGTCAACTTTTTCTACAATGAATTTTAATATAACGAATTTTACAATACAACAGATTTTCAGTGTCAGACAGATTTTTAAATATAAAAAAACCTTTTTTTTTATTTTACTTGGATTGCGCAGTTGGAACTTCAGCGCTCTATGCACACCATTTGATAGAAGTGATGTGTCTTATTTTTGGTATACATCGAGTTCACCATAACCCCTTTGATACTTTTAAACCCAGTGTGAATCAAACTAAGGTGAATGGATGTCTAAGACACAGCATAATTTCACCACAAGGAGTAGACTGCCAATATCCCGAACGCTTATGTTGTTCAAATATATAGTACCCTTCTTCATTTACATTTATCACAACTACTGGAAAGAGAGTCATGACAACCTAAGATGATAGCCTACACCATAGTTGCCAAGCCATATGTCAAAATCACCCAGAGAATCGAACTCCAGCCTCAAAACCCTAGTTGTGATATAGGCACTATGATGGTTGAAGACAGTGTAATACCAACCACCGATAATCAAGACTTTTGTTCAATCCTAGTCATCCAGCACCTACTATTGATTCTATCCTTATGGGCACCCTTTGCAGACGATGCGGCACTTGTTCATTACAGATCAGACCCTTAACATAGGTTCCAAACTCAATTGGTTCACATATGCATCAAGTTACTTACCACTATTACCTGTTGTCAGGGTGGTGTGTGAACGAAGCGACCTTACACAGCTTATGCCATGGAAGTTACCATCTAACATGTAAATAACCATTAATAGGTCATCTTATTCTACAAATTCGTGATCTTCAACATACATGGTTTGTATGCATCCTATGAAATTTATTCCCAGAATCGAACTGGTAAATCCCGTAAATTAATTTATTATGATCTGCCTTAGCTAGGGGCTGAACTAGGGTTTATTGCAGTGTAACCCATGATAGGGTCTGAGTTGTTACCAACTAAGGCAGGACTGCCAATCCTTATAAAAAAACCCTTACTATACCGAATTTAGTAATTAAAAATTCATACTACGTTTAACGAATTAAGTCATAAAAATTTATATATAAAATGACTCTTTTTATAACGAATTTTCTTTATAACAAATTTTTTTTTGATATAATGAAATTTTGCTTAAAATAAATTTTACTAGATTTATGCATATAAAATTATGTAGTTTTAAATGAAATTGAAAAATGAATAAATATTTGCATTACGCATTGTCTTGTATTTCATTTTTTTTTACATATTTTATTTTTTTACGTTTTTTTTTTCTTTGCATAATGCTAATAATGCCAAAAGTAAGCTCAAAGAAACAATTTAATCAAATTATTAACAAACAAGATGAACTTTTAAAAAAAAATGAAAGTCTTTTACAGCTGCACAAAAAAAAGAACTTTGTTTGAAAAAAATATCATCATTTTTTTTAAAACAAAAAGACTTGGCTAATGAATATGATGTTAGTGAAGGCATGGTAAGTGACATTTTAAAGGAGAAAG